ATCTGCATTTCACCGGGTGATTATGGGTTTTTACTTCTACCAGGGGAACAGCGAGGATCCCAGTCGTGGAGCAGGATGCTGCTCTGTTACATGCCATATAAAAACAGAATGAAATCATCCCCCTGCGGTGGAATTAACCACCGAAGTAACTACGGATGAGCTGAGAGCAGCAGTGTTTCTGAGGCAATGAAATGTGCAGGGGTTTTGGAGGATGCTTACGGAGGATGGGCTCTGCATTTGCAGCGTCCTGGCCAGGTATCTCCTCAGGCAGCGGCTGCTTCGCCCATCAGGGAGCAGACCCAGTCGCGTGACCTCAGCGCTTCACCCAACTATGTTATGTGATTAGCACGAACAAGTGATCATTAGCTGAAAAAAGAGTTGCAAAATAAAGAAGGAAAAATACATCTTGGTATGTGAGGAAGAAGCAATGAGAGGAGGGGGAGTGCCTGCTCCGGGGTCTGGCTCCCCTGCACCTCCCAGCCCCCTGCGCCCATCGCTTCCTCCCGCTCCCTCCAGTCAGGGCTCGCAGCTCCGCGGTCGCGAAGGGACCAGACCTGCTGGGCCCTGTTGCTCTTGACGAGCGCAGGGATCTTCCTTCCAACAAGCCCCGCAGTACTTCGATCATGCTGTTTTAAATTTCACGTTTATAGCCCTTGATGAGGTGGTGAAATCTTTTGGAGACAGCAGTGCCTGCCCTGGTGCCTGCCATGCGTCTGATTGAGCCTCCGCTCACTCCTGGATTAAAAATAACAAAATTTGTTCTTCTATCAAGAGCTGCAAAAATCTTTGGCCTCAATTCCGCTGACGCTTATATAATCGCCGTGCTGAAGCGTGCCCACCACTCCTCACAGGGTTAGCTCTCCATCGCTGAAGGTGTACGTGGGAGCAGAGCCAAACCTGCTGCACGCGAAACCGGTGCCGCGACGGTTTGAACCCGCGCAGAGAGCGGCCACGGCGAGTGAAAAGGGGCTGCAGCCTGGGAGCTCAAAAACTGCTCTCGTCCTACAGGGCTTACTTAATTGAAATGCACTCAGCTTACATACATGAAAAACCCTACCATCTCCCTGATGTACAGACAATTAATGCTTCAGGACTGAATTATAAAGCCGCTTTTTCTCAGTATAACCAGCACTTCTCCTGCACGCTTCAGTCTTTCCCTCTGAGAGCAAGAAACCGGAGCAGCTCTTCTGCACACGCAAGGGCTGCTGGTGTGGGCTCCGTGACAGACTCACCGTTACAGCGGGAAGATTTTTAACCTGGGGGGTCTCAGCAGCCCCAAGATATTTGTCCCTGCTTTTGCCCTGCACTGCCATTAACCCCTCGCCTGCCGCTTGATCGCTGGGGGTCCCAGCCCTGGGCACCCTCAGGTCTCACCGTCCCAGCAGAGCTCAGCCAAGCAGCAAGAGAGCCCCTCG